TTGATCGAGTGACTGTTCGTATCCTGAAAAATTTGCATGGTGGGGCATTCGTAAGCCGAGATTCCACTTTATAAGAGAGAAGTGATTGAAAAATTTGAGTGGTATGCGAGTGTTGGAACTTGCCAGGATGCATGGGAAAAACAAATCTACCATCACTTCCATCCTGGCAAAGAAAGAACAAATCAAGGAAGCTGATGTTGCGAAAGGAGTAAATGTGATAATGAAACAAAGGTCACCAATAATGGAAGATATGGAAAAGTTATTGTGGATCAGGGAAGAACAATTAGAGGGAGATAGTGTTGTGGAGTCATTGACTTGTGAGAAGGCAAAGCAGTTGTATGCGGATCTTTGTAAATAAAATGCCTGGAACAAGTGCTGCTGTTAGTGAACCTAGAGCCAGCAAAGGCTGGTTTGAGAGATTTAAGAAACATAGTGGCATACACAGTGTGGTAAGGCATGGAGAAGCTGCAAGTTCTGATAAATGGGCGGCAGAAAAATTTGTGCAAGATTTCAGGGGGTACGTAGAGGCTAAAAGGATTCCTTCCCCAACAAGTGTTCACTTGTGATGAAACAGGCCTGTTTTGGAAGAAAATGCCAAAGAAGACCTACATTACGCAGGAGGAAAAAGCCCTGCCTGGACACAAGCCTATGAAAGACAGGCTTACTCTTTTGTTCTGTGCTAATGCTACTGGGGATTTCAAAGTGAAGTCTTTACTGGTGTATCTCTCTGAAAATCCCAGTGTGTTCAAGAAACACAATTTTTTCAAGAGTAAATTGTGTGTGATGTGGAGGGCTAACAATGGGTCACAAGGTAAGTTTTCAAAGGGTGGGTGAATGATGTGTTTTGCATAGTATAAAAAAAAAATCCTGCAGCACGCAATGCATAGTGAGAGGAAAAAAACTGACCATGTTTTTGGTTTACAATGCCGACTTTGAGGTGTATTTTCGTATGGTATTTATGGTTGTATTCTTGTTTTCTTGGTCTCGTTTGATAAAATGGAAGATATATTACAGAAATAGAGGTGATTTTGATTTTGAGTTCAAAATAGTGGAAATGTTTGATTTTTCTCAGTGTTCAAGAGTAAACAAATGATGTCACCGTCCAATACATGTCCAACAGGCCAGTCTAATATGCAATCATGAATGGGTTGACATTATTTATACAATTACAGTGGTACCCTGAGTTTCAACCATAATTCGTTCCAGAAGGCTGTTCAGGTGCCGTTACCTAACGAATGTGTTCCCATAAGGAATAATGTAAATTAGATTAGTCTGTTTCAGACCCCCAAAAAATACGCTTACAAAAGCACTTACAATAATACCCTCACATAATTGTTTGAGTTGGGAGCTGTATGAAACTCGGGGTACCACTGTATTACCATAATGCAGTAGTCTGCATAACAGTAAATCATACATTGTTTGTGTGACTAAAAATTCAAAATGGAAAGCAAGTGTAATATAAGAGGGGCCTGGAGACATGACTATGAACAGTGAAAATGTTATTTTAGTGCCAGATATGTCTGCATTGTTTATTTTGGACCCTATTTTGAAATTTGCATAAAATTGGCCAAATTGCCAATTTCTGACTACTTTATTGCGTAGTTGAAATCGGTAAATGGGTGGTTTCTTGTACACACTAGATACAATAAATGGAGTTCTAGCGAAATAGCTATGAGTTTGGTCGACTGGAACAATGGAATTGACGGAAAGTGGGCGAAATCACTGGTGTATATATCGCCGAGACTGTTAACTTCACGAGAGCGTAATTCCATAAGTTTTCCATCAAATTTCGTACTTTTGGTATCATTACCATCAGGAAAAGATTCTCTATCATTTCACAAGAAAATATAACTTTTTTTTTAAATTCTACAACACTAAGGGCAAGATTGTGAGCAGGGATCTTGACAGTGAAAGGGTTAAGTGAGGAGAGGCTGTGTTACCTTTAGGAAAAGCTTCTTTACCATTTCAGAAGAATTTTTTTTTTAAGTGTGGACAATGAGAACTTTTAATTTAGGGGGTCTGGACAGTGAAAAGGTTAAAATATTCATTTATTTTGGACAAAGAAGTACGTACTGTTGTTCTACCATTCACACCAATTTATATGTTTTAGGAACATGTAGATTTCTTTTAGAGGAGGGTTTGTTGAGGTCGTTTGGACATTGAGTGGATGGAGCAAAATAAGGATTACTTAGAGGTGTGTAAATCCGTATTGGAGGAGAGGCAGGTTAGAGGTCGCCTGAAGAAAGGTTGGTAAAGCAGGTTTTTTTTATGTGAAGGCTTGGACATCCACCTAACTGGTGTGTGTGAATGTGTTAGGAGTGAGTGGAAGCAAATGTTTCTGGGACCTGACAATCTGTTGGAGTGTAGGCAAGGTAACATTTTGTGAAAGGGTTCATGGAAACTGGCTAGCCTGACTTGATTTCTGGAGGTGAGAAGTACAATACCTGCACTCTGAAGGAGGGGTGGGGATATTTATAGTTCGTAGGGGCATCCAAACTGTAGTATAAGCATGCCTCTGGTAAGACTGATAGTGTGAATGATGGTGAAAGGGTTTCTTCTGCTTTTAGGTCACCCTACTTTAGTGGGAGATGGCTGGTGTGAAAAAAAAATCTTTCGTACAAATTGCAGAATCAGAATAATAAAAGAGAATAAAATTATAAAATAGCTCTGGTTCTACCTTTCCTTTATTTTTTTTTTATTTTTTTTGGGTGGAGCCTAATACAGTATATAATATATGTAATTGTAATTCAACTACATATTATTGCATTACTGTATTATAGCTTTTATTTTTAATAGTACAGTAATACTAGTACAGTATTATTATTTTTATTATTAATTTTATTGGTGCAATATTATTATTGTTAAGAGTTATTTGAGCACAGCATCATTATCAGTCATTAGATTACTGCTGCTTTTGAAGTCTGTCATTGTCATTATTCAGTGTAGTCTTGATTTTTGCTTTAAAAGCAATTTGTTCACCAGTTATATTATGATTTTTTTTTACATAGCATATTTCCCATAAAGGTAGGATGACCCCAAAGAAGGAAGCGCATTCATTATCACTCGTTCAATAACCATCATGTCAGAAGTCAGCAGACATAACATTTTAAATGGCCCTCCGAACTGTGACATCCTCACTCACCCTACAGAGTGCAGGCATTGTACCTTTCACCACCTGATTTTAACTCTGGTACCTCTGGGATTACATAATTTTATTTATTAGTTTTATTTTTATTACTTTTTATTTTTATTTTTATTAACCCTTAAACTGTCCAAATGTAGATCTACGTTGACATGCGTAGTGCTCTGAATGTAGATCTGCGTATGATTTTACATGCTTTCAAATGTAGAAAATCAAAGTTGGAGCACTACGCACATCAATGTAGATCTATGTTTGGACAGTTTAAGGGTTAATATATTTATTAAGGATATTTTTTAATTATTTTTAAATAGCTGTTGGAAATAAATTGGGTTGCTTATATCTGTAAGGATAGTGAGGGTGATGCAGGTGATGGCGATGAAGTTGGACAAATAATTCTTTTGTAAGATAGTCTGATGATGCCTCTCTCGTGATCTTACCATTACACAGGCGCTAGTTGCAAAAGAGGATGTAGTAGGTTGGTAGACAGCATCCACCCAGGGAAGTACTTCTCTCCTGTCTTACGAGCAAAACAGATGCCTGTTAAATGTTTTACACTCACAAGATTGCCGGCAACTTCTTTCTTTATTGCTAATGATTAAAAGGATAAGTTCTTGCAAACTCTTTAAAATCAATATACACACTTAATTTTACTCCCTTGTATGCTTTAAATAGTTCTTGTTCTTGCTGGCCTACAGTTAAGAAGTCCCCTCCTTCTCACTCTCCTGCCAGGCTGGGGCCTGATAAAGTAGCCTAGACGTGCTGCCTCTACATAACCCAAATAAACCTATGGCTCGCCTCCCAAAGAGTATTATTCACCGCAGCAGAAAGAGATAGTTCAGTAACCTACTCATTATAGCCTGGTCTGAGAATGAGCTGCCAGGGCAATAATCTCTGGAACTGTTAACATATAAATTGTAACAGATAATGATAATGGCTCTCCTCTACTACTTTTTCCCACAACTCTCTTGTTTTGTATATTATAGTACCTCTTTCACCTTTGATGGGGGCTATCCCTTGGAATGTGCCATCTCTACCATATTGGAGTTAACAACAGCCACCTTAACACCTCCTAAACTACTGGCTCTAACACAACTTTAATCTCCTTAACACACAACATAGTTGAATAGTACTGTAATTGCAAAATACTTCGTTGAATCATTAATTGCAAAATACCTCGCTACTGGGGTATAAGTGTCTACAAGTTGGCTTGCCCAATAAACTCACTTTGTCAGCTAACTTCATCACACCTCTTTCTCTTGTCATCAAGCTCAACTTTCCTAGTATTCTTGCATTTAGCGGCATTGTGGAAGAACATAATCCAAGGATAGTGCAATTATGTGGTGATTTAGGGAGCTCAGATTTGTGACAGTGGGAGAGATGACCAAGACACCAGCAATCCACTCACACCTCCCTCCCTCATGTCAACAAGACAAAGTGAAGACAGCCTGTGTTAATCCCTTTGGCGGCTCACAGTGAGGAAGTACCAGCTATAACGTACAAGAAAGAAAAACCGAATTAAACTGGGGATGCTTTTTGTGATGACTCTTATCTATAAGTGCAGTCTTGCACCCTACACAGGACTGCACCTTCAGCAAAAGACCAGTGTTAATGAAGAAAAATGTGGCGAACAGAGAGATTTCATTGTACAGCACTGTGTGAAACATTTAAGCAATAATGTAAAAGTATTTGTGGATAAAAATATGTTTTGGTACAGGGCATTTTGTTTATTATTTATATTATTATAATTTTTATTATTTTTATTAATATTTTTATTTATATTTTTGTTGGAATTACTCTGCATACAGTATATTGAATGCATGTGATAGTGAATGCAATTTATTTTTTCTTAAAAATTTAGGGTCAGCTAAAGAAGACCCTGTGATGAAGGTAAATGATGAGTCTCCCCCTCAACAGCTTCCTTGCCTTTCTATTGAGTCTAGCGAAGAAAGTGAGAAAGGTAAGAATTAACACATTTGAATGTATATATGAACTACAAGTAATGCTAACATGTTTAGTGTGTGCCAAGAACTAATTCTGTAATCATTTACTATTGTTAATTTGGAATCATCAGGAACAGTGGTCTAAGCAAGGATAATGTATAAGTGGTGAGAAGTAGTAGGTTGGTAGACAGCAGTCATCCAGGAGAGGTATGACCCTTCTGATGTGTGAATGTGAAACACAAGCCTGTTAAATGTTTTGCCCTTTGGCAGAATAGCTGATCTTTTCCTTCTGTCTAATGAGCACATGAGATAGCAAGTAAATCTTATAAACTTCTACTTTTATATTCAGTAAACACTTCAATTTCCTTCATTTTTCTTAATAGTTGACAGTTCTTATTCCTGTCATACTTCCCTTCCAGTTTAGAAGGCCTGGTCTAAGACTGCACTGCTGGAGTGATAGTCCCCACAACCATTAATAAACATGTGAAATTTGAATTAGCTACATATGAATGACATGAATGACAAAAATGTCAAGAGTGTTACATGTCTCAGTATGGATATCAGCAACTGTGTATTTCTGAATAATTCTTAGTCCTGTAATATTTTGTTTCCAATTTAGAAGGCCTTGTCAAAGACTTGGCTGGTGATCTTCAGAATTATAACACATTTTTCTTTTAATGTATTTGCTGCAGCCCTGCTTTTCATTGTGGCTATTTCTTACATCTTGTGCACATCCTGCATGTGTAATGGTTTACTTCAGTGTGCTCATTTGTTATCACTTCCAGTAACATGTACGGTTTGAGAGCGGTCAGACATTCCCAGTACTGTAGTTTAGGTGTTGGAATAGATTTACTGTAGTCTCTAGGTTCAGCAAGATTTACACCAAACAGTGATACCTGACCTTAGAGCATCTTTAAGAGCAGAATAACTTGAAATCAGTCACAAGTGTCAGGTGACGTGAGCTGACACATTTCTTCCCTCAGTTCACTTAACACAATATTCCACCCCTACATTAAATGTAATACTACATTCCATTTACCACTACATTCCATTTAACACTGCTTTCCATTTAACACTACATTCCACTTAACATTAAATTTTACTTAACATTATATACCACTTGACACTACATTTCACTTCACGTTATCAGTTTCTCATGAATAGATCATAAATGATGAAATTTAACGAACAGTTTAGAAGTGTGGTGGAGTGGCATGGATGGTGAAATACTGCATTATTGTTCGTGGGAAAGCTCTAAACCTGTAGGGGTCATACAGCACTTGTGTAATGTAATGTAATTAGGTTTAATCCAAAGAAGGGAAAAGCTGTGCCACTTCTTTGGATTAAGAGCACTTTGCTAGCATAAATACTGCTTTCTTAAAGGGAATTTAGTGTTGGAGAGGGTAGTTGTATGGTGGGTATGAGGACTAGTGTTGCTTGGTGTAATGATGCCCCAGTCACTCAAGTTAACTATGTTGCTTCAATCTCATTTATGTATTGTTGCAAAGTTGTACAGACATTTGCTGAATTTTGATTTGCGAAGTCATAATGACAGTTGCAACACTGGCCTACTGGTTTAAGAACTGGATTGCCATGGATTTGAACCCCACTTTGTTCGGTGAATTTCTAAATTTTGTTCATAATTTCATTGTTTGGTACTCAGATCTGTTTTCCCATAGAAGTTATAGTATAAAGGAGGGTTAGGTTCTACTCATACAAGAAATTGCATGAAATGCAATGTTTTGACATGGCAAGTAATAGCACTAGTTATCATCCACAGTTGCATACTCAGCATATTATGTGAACCACTGTGGCAGCAACATAGTGGACAGACTTCCATTTTTCACAGCAACCAATTTAATTTCAAAATTAACTTTACTGTTTTTCACTAATTTTATTCAAACAGATGTTTTCCCACCACACATTCTGAAAATTAACACACATAAAACATCAATGCATTTGATACAAAAAAAAAAATTGTATTTTAGGAATTCTTGAGCCGAATACCAAAATACAGTGGAACCTCGGGTTGCGAACACCCCCACCATGCGAATTTTTCAGGATATGAATCGTCGTTCGGTTGATTTTTTTGCTTCAGGATACGAAAGAAATTTCAGGATGCAAACTTCCCCCTCAAGGGAGGTTCCTTAAATAAATAAATAAAATATATATCTCTTTGCAAAGGTTACAGTATGTGTTTACATATCATAATATGATTGGAGCAAAGAAAGCCACTATCATGCTGAGACATTTCGGGGAGAAATGCCTACTTAAGTCTAGACAGGTGAAAACTGTACTAGTAGTGGTTACCAATGTTTTGCTGATGGTGGTGCCAGCTACTGGCACCCTTTTGAAGTTTCTCCTTACTGTTATTATTAGTATTATATTGTATTATTATTATTATTGTCATTATTTTTATTATTAGTAGTAGTACGTACGTACGTATGTGGTGAGGGGCTCTTGATCTAGGGAATTGGATCTCTGCTTCAGGTCCCTAAATTAATAATAATCATTATAATAATTATTTTTTTTGTAATACTTATGTACTAATAATAATGATAATACGTAATAATAATTACGTATATTATAATATAATACTACATAATAATAAAATATATAATATAATATGTAATAGTACAATAATTATAATAATAATAATAGTACATGTATGTACGTACTGCGTATAATTTAGTTTGACAACACCACCACCAGATAGCAGTGTCAGTCAAAACAGTGATCACCAGTGGACCTCTGTCAGTGAAAATATGGAAAAGCTGCTGTTGACATGGTTGATGGAGAAACAGCTCACAGGAGATACGTAGTGTAGTGAGATAAACATAAAAATTGTACATAGCAGTTCTTAAGAAAAGTGTGAACTCCTGACAGGATATGCCGCTCTGCATTTCTTCTCCAAGGTATATAAATGTCGTATGTACACCAGATCTAATTCAGTTAGCCTCACAAACTCCATTTTCTCTTATAATAACACCTCTGACGCTTTCATAGTGAGAATGAGTGACCACTCCCGACCACAGTCCTCCTCCCTCTGCCATCCATGTAATGACATTTTATTCATTCTAGAGTGTATATCAGGTTTCTGTTATTTACATTGTTTTTTATGTCATATTAGATGAATTGTGACAGATAAATAAGCCGTAGAGTTGATATTAGGGTTATTTTGTCATGCCTCTTGAGAGCAGGAATTCAGCTGGAATGAATTAATTACATTTCATTTAATTTAAATGAGGAAAATTGACCCAGCATACGAACAAATCAGGATACGAACAAGTCCACAGAACAGATTAAATTCGTAACCCGAGGTTCCACTGTAATGTGAGTGCACTGCACAAGCAGAAAGTGACCATACTATACGTACTCTGAATATCAGTGCATTTTATTAAAAAAATTACTAGGTAAAAAATATTTTGAGATTCAGCTTATACAAGTCATTATTGTTTAGTTAATTCTTGACCATATTAACCCACCACACATGCATAAAATGAAAATATACATACATGTATATGCAAAATGTTTAAGCATTGGACATAAGAATGGAAAAATTCTGGAAAGTAATGTGCATTTCAGGGTCTGTGTTTCCCCAAAAATTATTGGTAGCTGTGAACCCTGGTTGTAAGTGCAGTACCATTTGCAGTTCAAACACTTCTAAGCCAGGAGAGACTGCACCATAAATAGGTGATTTTCTTGTTAGTTTCATGTAGGATTGCACAGTGATTATGAAATACTTAATTTATATTAAATGCTTAACATTGATCATGCAGGTGTAAGGAACAGTGGAGGTTCTATCTTCTGGCCACTAATTGTGAGACATGTGCTATCTCTCTGCACTTGCCTAGTTCCTTCATATGTTTTAAGAAGAGTTTTTGTTTTGCAAAACAGTAAAATTAAGTATTATGCTTGGAACAAAATAAAATTACTGTATGTATTGAAGTTTCTTTTATAGCACCATAAAGTTTTGTAGCAAATTTCAACAAAATTATTCAGTAATTTTGGAAACCCTGCCAATTGCAGGTAAAATCCTTAATTAAGGCCATTAAACATACAGCAATACAACATTTGTACCCAAAGAGAGTGAGTGCCATAAAAAGTGTAATTAATGCTTTTAGATCTCTATTGAAAAAGTTTTTATTTTACCATACCAGCCATTTCCCATCAAGGCAGGGTGACCCACAAGAAGAAACTCATTCACCATCACCCATTTAATAGCTGCCTTGACACAAGTATGTCGACATCACATTTCAGCAAATCTCCACCCATCCTTCAAAGTGCAGTCACTGTATTCCCATTCTCTTGGACTCAAAGTTCAACTAACAGGTTTACTCTCAGTCCTTTAATAAATGATATCTTGGATCACAATTGAAAAGCACATCAACACCCCCTCCTCTCCCCCATCCCACATGCACGCACCCTTCCACCCCTAATGGATGCTAAAGCCTTTACCACTTAAAACCTCCACCTTCTTTATCCAACCTTTCCTGGGATGACCTTCCTTCTGCCAAGCATTTATACATCCTCTTTGTCTAATTTTGCTGTTTTTTTTTTTTTCCAACATGATAGTTCCTCTGTTGTGCACTTTTTAATGTGGGATCTATAGAGATGATTATTCCCAAGTCTTACTTCCCTTCCATAGTATCATATGGTTTTGAATTTTAAATTACTTCACAGTATCACTTAAATGCTGCTTGCACTCACACAAATAAAATAGAGCTACAAGAGCTTATCATGTCAATAAAATATTAAAACTATTAAAAGTATTACAAAGATATTTAAACTAATAACGTTACTGAGCTAGTAACTGGTGATCTTACTAATCAGACCAGCTGTTGATTATCTCATAACATCCTTGCTGTGGCATTCTACCTTAATCACAAGTGGGGTAACAAGCAGACAAGTGGGCATAAAGATGCTACAGAGCAGTCCTTCATATTAGGCAATGATTCATTGGATTAAAGATTATCGAGTTTAATAAAGCTGTGTCTTAATACTTGCAAGTGAATTAATGTTTTACTGTTCTGGCCTCTCCCACTGAGGCAGGGTGACCCCCCCCCCAAAAAAAAAAAGAAATACTTTCACCATCATTCATACTATCACTGTCTTTGCAGAGGCACGCAAATACGATGGTTTAAATATCACTCTGAACATCAATTATCCCAGATCCCTCCTTTAAAGTGTATTTCCCACTTCCAGGACTGAAGTTCAGCTTACCAGTTTCCCTGAATCTCTTTACAAAATATTACCCTGCTCACTCTCCAACAGCTCGTCAAGTCCTAAACACCATTCGTGTCCACTCCTGTCTAATATGCTTACACACGCCTGCTGTATATCCAAGTCCCTTGCACATAAAACCTCTTTTACCTCCTCCATCCTTTCCTAGGATGACCCCTGCCTCATCTTCACTACAGATTTTTACACTCTCCAAAACTCTGTAAAATCTTCAAATCGCTTGTTCTCTCTGGGCTGGAATACTGCTGTACACTTAAGTGCCCCCTTCAAGGCAAGTGAAACTGCTGACCTGGAGACTGTACAAACAACTTTCACGGCACACACAAGTACGATAAAGCACCTAAATTACTGGGAATGGTTGAAGTCCCTTGATTTGTATTCCCTGGGATGCAGACGAGAGATATACATGGTAATACGTATACACTCAGAAACTCCTAGAGGGATTAATACCAAACTTACACACAAAAATCACTCCCTATGAAAGCAAAGGACTCAGCAGGAGATGCAACATTCCCCCACTGAAAAGCAGGGATGTCACGAGTACACTGAGAGAAACACAATAAGTGTCAGGGGTTCAAGACTGTTCAACTGCCTCCCAGCATACATAAGGGAAATTACCAGTAGACCCCTGGCTGTCTTCAGGCACCTAAAGTCAGTACCTGACCAGCCGGGCTGTGGTTTGTATGTCAGTTTGCCTGCGGCCAGTAGTAACAGCTTGGTTGATCAGACCCTGATCCATGACGAATCCTGGTCTCGGACTGAGCTGCGTGGGCATTGACCCTCAAAACCCTCTCCAAGTATACTCCAAGTAAGCCATCCTGTTTTGCTCCATCCTCTAAATGACCAAATCATCTCAACAACCCTTCCTCAGCCCTCTGAATAATACTTTTGGTAACTCCACACCACCTAATTTCCACACTACGAATTCTCTACATAATATTTACTTCACACATTGCCCTTAGACATGACATCTCCACTGCCTCTAGCCACCTCCTTGCTGCAACATTCATAACCCATGCTTCACACTCATATAAGAGTGTTGGTACCACTATACTCTCATACATTCCCTTCTTTGCCTCCATGGATAGTATTCTTTGTCTCCACAAATACCTCAGTGTACCACCCACTTTTTTTCCTTCATCAATTCGTTGGTTTACCTCATCATTCATAACCCATCTGATAAGTCTATTCCCAAATACGTATCTGAACACATTCGCTTCCATATTCCTTCCCTCCAGTCTGATATCCAGTTTTTCTTTACCTAACTCGTTTGATACCCTTGTCACCTTACTCTTATCTATGTTCACTTTCAACTTTCTTCCTTTACACACCCTCCCAAACTCATCTTTTAAATTTTGCAACTTTTCTTCAGAATCTCCCAAAAGCATGGTATCATCAGCAAAAAGCAACTGTATCAACTCCCATATTGTATTTGATTTTTCATAATTTAATCCTGCCTCTCTCTCCCTAGCATTTACTTCTTTGCATCCCTATCTATAAATGTGTTAAACAGCCATGGTGACATTACACATCCCTGTCTAAGACATACTTTTACTGGATAGTAATCTCCCTCTCTCTCCTTCACATTCTAATCTGAGCCTCACTATCAGTAAGTGGTGTGTGTCTTTCTTATTAGCAACACACAAAAATAAACAAATGAGAGACTCAGCATACAGTATTGTTCTTTTTAGCACACCAGTTGTCTCCCACCAAGGTAGGGGATTAAAAAAAAGAGGAAGCACATTTATCATTATTCATTCAGAAGCTTGCTGACATCACAGTTAAGAGAAGCTTCCAAACTGCAACATCCTTACCCCCCACTCTCCCTGTTAGGGTGCAAGCACTGTACTTTCCACTTCCAGGACTTGTGCTCAACTTACTGAATCTCTATGAATGTTACCTTGCTCACACTCCAATAGCACTTCAGGTCACAGAAACCACTCGCTTCCATGCATAAGCAGAAGTTTGTTTGAGTAAACAGAAGGCTGCTGGTTGAACTACCATAGAAAATTGCTTTCTTATCCTGTCTTCCAGAGGGGTACTTAATGTTTGTGATGGTCTCTTAATCCAAAGAATTGGAGTTACCCTTCCCTTCTTGGAGCATACTGGATTGCCTACTTTTTCCCAGGAGCTGTATGACCCCTACTAGTTTGGTGCTTTCCCATGAATATAATAATAATAATAATCATACCAACAAAAGGGATATTCTACTGTGCACATCCTTATATGGCCCTATGCACATGCATAGATATTTGAAGAAAACCCTAAATCAAAATTGGCAAAATTGGCATATTACTCACTGACTGTACTCCACAATAAAGTGATGTTTCATACAAAAAATGTTAAATTTTAATTCACTTGTTTTACCTTTGGAAAATTCTGGGTTTTAGAGATCGTTTTGGATATAAAATTTTAATTAAAAATTTGGAGGATATGGCCACTTTTCATACTGAGAAATGACCATATCTTTCATGATACCTGACTAGTACTGTACAGTTCCATTCTGATCACAGAATCATTTATAAAGTGAGCTGCATTGCTATTGAATTGGACACCTACATTGCATCTGGTTAAATTCAGGCTGACTTATGAGTATTTTCATTAGTAAATCTATGTGGTCCAAAGCCTGGACTTCAAATAAATAACTGCAAAGTTGGCATGAATGCAGCTGGGGTTTGTTAGATTATTAAGTTAAAAGCCTTTCAACTACATGAGGATTATTACAGCAGAATGTCACATGTACACCACCAGTCAAGGATACTTAATTGCTAAAATAGAGATTAAAGTAAACTGTGTTGTTATATATACAGAGATAAGTTCTTGTTGGTGCATACATTTTTGCTGTGTCTTGGTAACCTAACCTGACACCCATATGGTGTTGGGCCAGTATAGGTAAGCCTCCCATTATGGTTGTAGGGGTTCAGAGTCTTCTGTTGTCACCTGGATATCAATTGAGTTTTTACTTAATTATAAAAGCAGTTCAGTATTCAAGTATAAGATGTTTGTTTTTCAATTATTTAAAATAATTACTTTGTAATTTATATGCTTGTTGCTTTACCTTTGTCTGTTATGAACTTGAAAAGATTTGATCTATAATTGAAACATTGTCATGTAGTGTCTATACTGCTTACAGTATCTATTCCAGAGTTTAATTGCTTATTTTCTTCTTGATGTGCTTTTAAATATGTATGTTTGTTTTTCCATAGAAACATTTAAAGTTTCTTTGTCATCATTCATTAAGAGTAGGCTTCAGGGATCTAATGTATTGATGTATGTAATCTGAGTTAATGCAGTTGTCAAGATTAATGCATTGTGGTTTGAGCTATTTCATAAGACATTGATTCATGTATTCATTAACAGTTCCTCAAAACTAAGATGCAAAAGTTTATTCATGTTAATTCTGTAAGATTATCAAAATGCATTTTTCTTAGAAGCCCTGGCTTGGAAATTTTGTGTATGTTTTATGTAATGCTTAAGAGAGTTTATAGATGAGAATGTACATATTCCATAACGAGTTAGATGTAGTGCATTGAAATGAGGATTCCTTGAAAGGGGGTGCCTTGATGCTGGTGATGGGGCTCTTGATCTGAGGAATTAGAGTTACTCTCCCCTTCCTCGAATCAGACCTGATTACCTCCCATTCAGTAGGTGCCTATATGAACTAAATGCCGTATGAACTAAAAAAGTTTAGTGCTTCCCCCATGAATATACAAATGATGATTGAAATGCAGATGTTAAATTCTTCTAGTTTTTGTTTAGGGATATCATTAAAGTGTAATTTTTTTTTGGCATACAGCTGCTCTGAGAAAACTGAGAACACGAACCCTGGCCGTTTTGCTGTCTCGCTCGCTTGCAGACAAAAAACTGAAGGGCTGGGCCAGGAAGAGACCCTCGTGTTTCTCCTGTGATGAGGCTCCTAGGCCTCAACCCAGCAGAGGTAGCCCACTCACTATCTCTCACACTTACTTTTCCTTGCTCTCTCTCGCTCATGCTCTGCTCTCCCTTCTCCCTTCTCTTTTTGCTCATTTTTTTCTAATCTTTCATTTCCATTGATATTATTCCACTAATGTGGCAAAAATGATGCTGGCTGACCTGGTAGTATGCATTATTGTTGGCATTCATTCTGATAAACAGCTTTGCATGGCCTCAGGGATCAAACTGTTTTATGATGCTGTTGTTCGTATTGGTTGTAAGGATCATGTACAAATATGTATATATATATATATGTGTATACATATGCACTATATATTTATATATTTATTTATATATATATATTTAATTTATTCATTTATTGTAAATAAAAATCTTTTGAGTGAAAAGGGTGATAATTATTTATGTATTAGTCTGCTATATATATTTTTCACTTCCTATACCAGAACCAGTGACCCAGTCTTTCCTGTTATCAATTACTCGTAGTGTCTGATATGTTAACAAAAAATACGTTGTACCTGGTACTGTACTTCTCATTGCTGTTTGATGTTTTGAATACAAGTATACTCCACACTTTCTCTGAGAGTTGATAAGTTGTGGGAGATGTATATATTTTGTTTACCTTCCTATTCACTTACAAGCTCCTGTTCTTGGTATTTAGGGTCTTGTGAAATAAATCCTTCAAGGGGGTGTCTTATACTGACCAGTGAAGAGCTCTTGATCCATGACATTGAAGTTACCCCAACCTACATGAGGTCAAACCTGATTACCTACTGTTCCCCAGGCACCATGTGATTCCTACAGATTTAACACTTCTTTGCGAATATATAATCTGAGGAAAAACTTTTCTATTTTATCTTTCTTACTTGGTACATTACCTCCTTTTTGAGTTTTCTTTCAAATGCTTATAATTTACATTTAACTTAATGTTGTATGCATTATGCTGTAATGATATTCTTTCACTCCTATGCAACTTGTAACATCCTATAACAAACATAACACAATTATACCTTTCATTGTTAGAATTTATTTGCCTCAGCACACTACAGTATTGCATCTTCCAATCCTTCTCCCTTTATTAATATTCTGTTTTGTGTAGTAAACTAGATCATAGCCCTCAATTCAATATTTATCAAAGATTCCTTCTTTCTATCCAAATTTTACTTGCATTAATTTTTTTTTCCAGTTGTTTGTTCAGTACTGTGGTTGCATTGTTTTTTTTAATCTTTTATAGTTACCTGATAAAATTACTACACCTTTTAACAAAATTGTAGCCATAAATAGTACACTCTTTACAGTATTGTATTTATGAATTATGATTTCTGCAAAAGTTTTTATTTTGGCTTAGAACTGGTTATGCTCAAGTTCTTTTTAAAGCCAGAATGATTGCCATGAGAAAAGCTTTTAAACTGGTAGCTACAACTAGAAGAATAAGGTCACAGTACTGTGGCTGGAGCAATTCTCAACCACCTCACAAATTGGAGGTTTATCTTTGGAGAGCATTTTGGTGTGTCCTGTACCATTATTAAGTTACAACTCGCTCACCATGACTGACTTACCAAGCCATTACATGAAGATTCAGTAGGCACATGAATATCAAGTAAAGATACATCTCCAACTTGTGATTTACCCCTAAACTGTCCATATTCCTCCAATTGAAAGTCCTTTCTGTATCTACAAGTTTGAAAAAAAATAAAAAAATGATATCTTCTAAAGAGGAAGAGAATTTTTTTAAGGGTAATGGCACCAAAAATTCAAAATTTGATGTAATATGTATGTACATATGGAATTACACAGGTGTGAAGTTAAAGGTTGGGAAGCACTTAACACAACAGTGATTTTGCTCAATTTGAGACCTATTTTAGACCATTTTCTGTGCTCCCACCTACCCTGTTCCCAGTTATTTTTCTATTATTCCTTCTGACCTATCCATTGTCTGTCAGAAACTTTCCATTCAGCCATCAAAACTACCTTATTAAGTGCATAGCAGTTGGAAATCTGGCCCATGTTGCACACTTCAGCAGATTCCAGTTTAAAAATAGTTCAAAACGAACAGTGTAGGCATCCCGGCCAGTAAAGTGACTCTCCCTCTGTTCATTAATTGTGCCCCTTGACCTCTCCTATATAACTTGTTCTCCATTTTGAATCTATTGTTGTACAAAAAATCAGTGTTTTTCTTATTTCTCAGCTAAACCATAACCAAGAATACTCAGTAATGGTTTAAGCCATCCCAGTAATTGATACAGACCTATTACAAAAACAAACAAAAAAAAAAAACAGACCAGGAGGTGCAGGGGCCCCTATCCTATCCCAGAATAATCATCCAAAATTGACCATTTCTGCCACTTTGAGGCCTGCCACAGGCCCATTCCAGTCTTAGGCTGACCAAAAAGTTCTGCATATCAATAGTACAGTGGAACCTCGGCTTACGAGTGCCCCACCATATGAATTTTTCAGGATACGAGCAGTCGCTCTGTTGATTTTTTGTTTCTGGATACGAGCAAAAATTCAGGATGCGACCTTCTCCCTCAAACTTTTTTTTTAGACCTCCAGATCTTACAAAAATAAAAGTGAATATATAATTGTAGTTGATTGTCGTGATGTATTATGTTTTTACTGCTTAAGACTATAACTGCAACAGAAATAATAATACATATTTCTTAACTTAAATTGTGGGTGCTGGTGTTTGTCGATGTTTGTGAAGAGAGTGGAGAGTTTTGCTGTGGCCCTACTGGGCTGAGGTGGATGGTAGAGGTTCTGGTACTGAAGTCGATGGTTGTACTGGAGTGTGCATAAATTCTGTAATGGATTTCTGTTCTATTTTACCCTGCAGTACATTATACAACTGATGGTAAGGCATCAACTGCTCTAGACACCATTTCAAGGTCCTCTTCAGTGAAAAAGTCTAACTTTAATTCATTCAGTAAGTCAGTCAGCCAGTCAAGTCAGTAAGTCAGCAACACTGGTATGCCTACTGAGTGTCATGATTGCTTGGCAGATACAAGATATGGTAATTAAAAAATCAAAACACAATTCACAAACACAGCTACCGTGTAGGAGAGAAGTGGAACTGAACACACATTCACAAAGCTGAGGTGGTGATGTGGGGAGTGTGGGAGTGTCGGGGGGATGGCAGAGAATGGCGGGAGTCTGCCCCGCTGACCCACAGCATGGCGGCTGCTCGAGGTAGGGAATGGCTGCCACCACTTGTCACATAATGACATATTTTATTCATTCTAGAGTATATATTAGGTTTCTATGTCATTATGTGACAAAATTGTCAAAGTGGGATGTCTGAATGTGCGTGGATGTTGTGCGAATGATAGAGATGATTGTGGATGTTATGAATGAAAAGAAGCTGGATGTCCTGGCTTTAAGTGAAACAAAGCTGCAGGGAGTGGGAGAGTTTCAGTGGAGAAGAATAAATGGGATTAGGTCAGGGGTTTCAAATAGAGTTAGAGCTAAAGAAGGAGTAGCAATAATGTTGAAAGATAAGCTATGGCAGGAAAAGAGGGAGTAAGAATGTATTAATTCAAGGATTATGTAGAGTAAAATAAAGGTTGGATGTGAAAAGTGGGTTATAGTAAGTGTATATGCACCTGGAGAAGAGAGAAGTGTAGAGGAGAGAGAGAAATTTTGGGAAATGTTGAGTGAATGCGTGGGGAGTTTTGAACCAAGTGTGAGAGTACTTGTGGTTGGGGATTTCAGTGCTAAAGTGGGTAAAAATGTTGTGGAGGGAGTGGTAGGTAAATTTGGGGTGCCAGGGGTAAATGAAAATGGGGAGCCTTTAATTGAGCTGTGTGTAGAAATAAATTTGGTAATAAGTAATACATATTTTATGAAAAAGAGGATAAATAAATATACAAAGTATGATGTAGCATGTAATAAAAGTAGTTTTGTTAGATTATGTATTGGTGGATAAAAGGTTCATGGGTAGGCTCCAGGATGTACATGTTTATAGAGGGGCAACTGATATATCGGATCATTATTTAGTTGTAGCTACAGTTAGAGTAAGAGGTAGATGGTACAAGAGGTGTATAAACTAAGGGAGGAGGAAGTTTGGGTGAAATATAAGCAACTATTGGCAGAAAGGTGGGCTAGTGCAAAGATGAATAGTTGGGGGGGGGGTTGAAGAGGGTTGGAATAGTTTTAAAAATGCAGTATTAGAATGTGGGGTAGAAGTTTGCGGTTATAGGAAGGTGGGTGCAGGAGGAAAGAGGAGTGATTGGTGGAATGATGAAGTAAAGGGTGTGATAAACAGAGAAAAAGGTAGCTTATGAGAGGTTTTTACAAAGCAGACGTGTTATAAGAAGAGCAGAGTACATGGAGAGTAAAAGAAAAGTGAAGAGAGTGGTGAGAGAGTGCAAAAGGAGAGCAGATGATAGAGTGGGAGAGGCACTGTCAAGAAATTTTAATGAAAATAAGAAAAAATTTTGGAGTGAGTTAAACAAGTTAAGAAAGCCTAGGGAACGTATGGATTTGTCAGTTAAAAACAGAGTAGGGGAGTTAGTAGATGGGGAGATGGAGGTATTAAGTAGATGGCGAGAATATTTTGAGGAACTTTTAAATGTTGACGAAGAAAGGGAGGCGGTAATTTCATGCACTGGCCAGGGAGGTGTACCATCTTTTAGAAGTGAAGAAGAGCAAAATCTTAGTGTGGGGGAGGTACGTGAGGCATTACGTAGAATGAAAGGGGGTAAAGCAGCTGGAACTGACGGGATCATGACAGAAATGTTAAAAGCAGAGGGGGGGGGGATATAGTGTTGGAGTGGTTGGTACTTTTGTTTAATAAATGTATGAAAGCGGGGAAGGTACCTAGGGACTGGCATAGAGCATGTATAGTCCCTTTATATAAAGGGAAGGGGGACAAAAGAGATTGTAAAAATTATAGAGGAATTAGTTTACTGAGTATACCAGAGAAAGTGTACGGTAGGGTTATTATTGAAAGAATTAGAGGTACGACACAATATAGGATTGCGGATGAACAAGGAGGTTTTAGAGTGGGTA